AGATCAGTATTATCACTAGTTCCTCTTATGCGAATATTATTATTATTATTATGCCGTTTATGCGACACCTTTACCCATTGTGCATTGCCAGTCATTTATCATGTGGAGTATACCGATTTTTATTTGAATTTCTAAGCTGTGCTAAATGGAATGTGTTATCGGACTCTGTGAATCGCAATATAAATACTAATTATTTTTTATTGAACAGAACAAGGAAAACCGCTGTCTTAGGTCTATATAGCTTAAAAAAATCCATTACAGCCAATATGCTTAGAGATGTATGTATCTCTGGATAGAGCAGAGAATTCAAGTATTAATACTGTCGTAAGACTAGTTGATGTACGTCCAGACATTGTGTGAGAGCATTCAAGGGAGCATGCAGACGACCAGGCGAAGGCCTCAGCATATTTATTTAAATATGCCGAAGCTTTTCTTGTACCGCTTACAAAGAGATATAAATCAAACCTCGGTTCGGTTACTCTTGTAGGAGCAGTACTTGAATACTCTGGGTAGGCAGAATATTCGATAAAACTCTTGCAAAAGCCACACCAGCTATTTCCGGCTTCTAGACGACTTTTTAGATTGTCTATGCATCTATGATGGCTGAAAAAAAAAATTTAAAACCGCCATACTACAATTCAATTAACTTCAGAGTTTGGCATGTCCTATATAATGGAGAACTAGCTCAACTGCGACTATGGTGTAGTTTCGAAGATATTTTTCTATTCATATTTTTGTTCCAGCAATGACTTCTATACAAAGAAAGTTTAGCTTTGGATAGATATTAAGTTCGGACTTTCTGATTCCATGACAAGGGAGACGTACTGTGAGTTGTTGGTTTTCCAGATCGCAAATTCTGGACAAATGTACAGAGAATCATTTATGGGCTTCACATCAAACATGCAATTCCAATAGGAAGATTGACCACTGTGCTCCAGGTCAAAGTATTAGCAATCTCAACTTAGGCTAACAGGATGATCAATTTCAAGTTTTTTATGAAATACTTTGATACGCTTTAAATTTAGACAATGGGAAACATGGCCACACTGTGATCGGTAGCATGTTACTGTGCAGTCACCAGAAGGATCTGTCTTTATATTTAGCATGGGAATCACTTTGTGGTATTCATTGGTCTTCTCCGAAAGCCATAATTACTGCGAAGGTATACTCAGAACGCAATATGTTCTGGAAAACTTTAAAGGGTCTTAGACTGGCCAGGCTCTTTGACTATCCTTTCCATAGAATTCTTTTAACTGGAATTCAATTCCTACTTCTTTCTGTGCGGCTAAGCTATAATTTTACCGATCCACAGACAGGCTAATGAAGACTTTCCATTATTGCCAAATAATCGCGAAGTTGAATTTGAATTTTCATACCCAAATCACTATTTTAATAGATAATAATTACAAAATACGACTATTTTACATGCATTTCAATTTTAAATGATTATCCCAATGTGATCTCCTGTGGCATAGTACACCACAGCCTTTTATAGTGACCACTTTTACCCACATACATATAACAGCTCCACAATTGTGGCATAACTGACGTTGCCTCAAAGTGTGGCAAGTGGCGTAATATGCACTTTTCTATTCATTTGAGCTTTTAGCATTTTTACCTCGCATGTTCAGGCAACAAAAGCGAAATTAAGGCGTCCAAATGTAGAAAACTCGAAATTATTCACCCAAACTAGATTAAAGATACAAACCAATTTATACGTATTATACAATATGGCACAGTAAAGCATAGCACAAACACAAACAGCTAATGTTAAGTACCTCCAGCTGGCCAGGACTTACTAGAGCACATACATATGTACACACTCAACCGCTGATCCACTAAATCGTAGAATGAAAGTGAAGGCAGACAAATAAACACAATAAATGAAATGAGACCACACCACAAAATGCCAAGACGCCAAGATGCCATGCCGTTCAAATACCAGCATCCCAAAGTGCAGTCAAGAAAAGGAAAAAAAATAACAAATCATCTAACGAAGCAGCTGCGTCTGCGCCGGCGACTGCGGCTGTGCTTATTGAGCTGAGAGTATTGAATTGCTATGACTGCTGCTAAGTTACATATCGCCAGCGCATGCGCGACATGCAATAATTCACGATTGTCTAAAAAGGCGTTGCTGCCGCGAAGTCGCTCTATCGCTTATAAGTGTTGGGAATGAGACAAATGAGGAAAATTCGGAAAAATGTGAGAAACAAGAAAATCTGTATTTTATGATTTACGGCGTAGTACAGAGTGTCCACTAGTGGGATGTATTGAGGCGTTGAGTGTAGGCGGTAGCGAGCTTTACATGTTCCTACACACATAGAGCGCACGTTTAAGGTGGAAAAATAAATTAATTTTGATAAGATTATTAGATATTTTTTATGGATAGTACATACAGACATATGTAAATATAAAGAGACATTATCTTTTATGACAGAAAAAATTCAAGCATAATTACTCGGACTGGAGACTGTTAATAAAACAAAGTTTCCTAAAGCTTGGTGTCCGATTAATCGAAGCCCGGACAATCCTGTGATCTCACTTTTCATGTTGCTTGCTGTGAGTTATTGTTAAAGGTTCGTCTCCATAAATTAGATCAAATAAAAGATGAAAATATTTTTGCTTACGAGTTAAGTGTCGAATTTAAAACCGTACTGCATAATAGATACTTCTGTTCCGAAGTTCCATATTTCACCTCAGTACCTCAATACAAATTTTTAACGAATAAAATGCTCTTGGGTATTTTTGGAATTGGCTGTGTTGTTAAATCGTTTGTCCACAGTAACTTCTGAACACTTCGAAAATCCACAAGGAATTATCAAAGTATTATCCCGACAAACAAACTTTCCGTTTGAGCCTTCAAAATTAGTTAAACTTTCTCGACGCCGCATAGATTACAAAATGGCATAAGTAGTGCTTGAAGATCTTAAATTTCGTCGCAAATTTTATAGACTTTGATACTTCCGAAGCCATGGCTAACCTTGCGTCGTTTCTAGCTATGATTTCTAAGCTTTTTTTTGTTAAAAATCAAGGCTACAGTATAAATGAAATAAGTTTCGGCACGGATAAGTAAATAAGGTTTGAAGGGCTTGTGTGGAATATTTCATACTTTCACTCGGTGACAAAATTGTCCTCTTTTAGTGTAAGCAGGAGACACGTACCTATAATAGAAAGAGTTGCTTTAAGTCATTGTTCTAACGAACCAATTGCTATTGCTGATGAAGCCGAGGAGATCCAACAGTTCCACCTAAGTGCTTGAGGCGCTTCTTCTGTAAACGTGAACATCGACACAGATAGTGGTCTTCCGCATCCACATCATGCCAGCCCCTGCAGAGAGTACCTACTTGTTGGTATTCGCCACCGTTAAAGTATTGGTGCTATAGCAGAGTGTCTTGTGATGATGCCGGTAAGGACTCTTACTGCAGATCTATTGAGTTTCAGTATGCCGTTTGTATTTTTCTGACTATGCCGCGGCCATAATAATATTGTGGTCTCATAATCTGCCCCCAAGCCATTCGCCATGGCCAGGATGTACTCATTAATTTTCCTGCCATGATCACTAAACGGTGGTAGTATGAAGCTATCCGCTTCTTCTTTTAGCATCTCTCAGCCGCATCTGGCCATCTCATCAGCCGACTCATTCCCTTCAATATTGCTCTGTCCGGAAATCCAGCATAGAGTGACGTTGATACGGCTCAGTGACACCAGCGTAGTGCGACATTTCCATACAATTCCCGATTTCATTATTTCCTATTGCTGTCTTTTGGCCCCCTACTACTAAGTAAAAGACTAGCCACCTGTTCTATAGTGTAGATCTCCGCTTGGAAGACACTGCAATCGTTCGGTAGACGAAAGGACTGGTTGATTCGCAGGTCCTTCGAGTAGACACCGACTCCGGTTTCTTGTTCCATCTTTGAACCGCCAGTGTAGATGGATATACCTCTCTCTGATACTGGCAGTCCTGTATTCCATTCTTCTCTGGCGGGAACCTAATGGGTATCAGTGCTGATTTCCAATGTCAGCTTTAATTCCATTTAACCGGCCCCTTTTAAGGTAACTAAAATTAACAAAATTCAATAAGTTATTGAAAGTCTAAAAACGAACATTTACTACAGTTGTGCTCTATTGTAGTAGAGGCTACGAAATTTTGCAGAATACACAAATTTGTATACCCAGAATGGAGATCAATGTCAACGTTTTGTGTGAGTGGCTAAATGTCACCAGAGACAGTTCCCAATTTCTTCAAAATCAACGCATTGACCAAAAACTGAAAACGTCATTTGAGTCAGACATCTGCGCAACCTCTGATTAAAATCGCTTTTAGTCTTGTTCAGGACACCACAATTATTGAATATAGTAAAACCATGTCAAATTTACATATTTACAACCTGATTTCATTAAACTTCAGTATATTGAAAAAATGATTTAGAAAACATAAATGTCTTGGTAGAATACCAACCCAATAGGTGCCGCTGCTATCGATATACATATTTCTAAATGTAGTATGACGTATACTGCTGTCACATTTGGCAAGTCGGTTTTACGCTGGCATTCAGCTCATTGGTAGGAGAGGGTCGACGAAATTTATAGATGGAGGAGCAAACCGTAGGAAACTCCGTTGTACTCTTTCA